CTGTTTCTTGGAGGCCCAGAAATGATGACCACGTCGATCCTTTGGTGGTTTGGATTGGTTTGGATTTGGATTTGAGGGTAAATGGGAAACCCCCAACCTCACCAATACTATGTTCAGTCTTTATGACTCAGTTGCCCAAAGCGAATCCACCTTTGACCCTGTTTGATTTTTTTTTGGTCGTCATGGGTCCAAAAGGTGATCACCTTTGACTAGTGGGTCTGAACTGGGCGGCTGAGATGAACAATTACCAAGGTTACAACCCTGAGGATCACCACTTGGATTCCTGCAACGTTGGTAAGTGGTTAGACACTACGGTTGCAACCCAGCAATAACAGGGCTAACCCCACTGGGGGGATGAACAAAGTGGGTTTTTACCTAGGTTACCAACAACTTGCTAACTTGGCCGAGCACCCAAGAAAAGGATGCATGGGTATGTTCGCAAATGGGGGACCACGTGGGGGACCACCAAACAATCAGAGGCGAGCTGACTTCTGAACTTCAGGGGCCCTTTCGGCTCTTTTTGTCAGCCGCTTGGTGAGAAGGGAATGAAATGACATGAAATGAAATGAAATGAAATGAATGGAATGAATGAATGAATGAATGAATGAATGAATGAATGAATGAATGAATGAATGAATGGATGGATGGATGGAAGGAATGAATGAATGAATGAATGAATGAATTAATGAATGAAGGAATGAATGCATGAATGAAGAAATGAATGAATGAATGAATGAATGAATGAATGAATGAATGAATGAATGAATGAATGAATGAATGAATGAATGAATGAATGAATGAATGAATGAATGAATGAATAAATGAATGAATGAATGAATGAATGAAGGAAGGAAGGAAGGAAGGAAGGAAGGAAGAAAGGGAGGGAGGGAGGGAGGGAGGGAGGAAGGAAGGAAGGAAAGAAGGAATGAATGCATGAATGAATGAATTAATGAATGAAGGAATGAATGCATGAATGAAGGAATGAATGAATGAATGAATAAATGAATGAATGAATGAATGAATGAAGGAAGGAAGGAAGGAAGGAAGAAAGGGAGGGAGGGAGGGAGGGGGGAAGGCAGGCAGGCAGGAAGGAAGGAAGGAAGGGAAGGAAGGAATGACTGAGTGACTGACTGACTGACTGAATGCATGAATGAATAAATGAATGAATTAATGAATGAATGGAATGAATGAAGGAAGCAAGGAAGGAATGAAGGAAGGAAGGAAGGAAATAAGGAATGAATGCATGAATGAATTAATGAATGAAGGAATGACTGCATGAATGAAGGAATGAATGAATGAATAAATGAATGAATTAATGAATGAATGAATGGAATGAATGAAGGAAGCAAGGAAGGAATGAAGGAAGGAAGGAAGGAAAGAAGGAATGAATGCATGAATGAATGAATTAATGAATGAAGGAATGAATGCATGAATGAAGGAATGAATGAATGAATGAATAAATGAATGAATGAAGGAAGGAAGGAAGGAAGAAAGGGAGGGAGGGAGGGAGGGAGGGGGGAAGGCAGGCAGGAAGGAAGGAAGGAAGGAAGGGAAGGAAGAAATGACTGAGTGACTGACTGACTGACTGAATGAATGAATGAATAAATGAATGAATGAATGAATGAATGAATGAATGAATGAATGAATGAATGAATGAATGAATGAATGAATGAATGAATGAACAACTATTAACATATGTATATACGCTTGGGTAAGCCTCGTAAACACTTGTTTGGGGCTGCGAGACATGCTGTCCGTGCTTGGGGGTGTGCGGTAGGCGGGGTGGGTTGGGCTGGGTTTGGTTGGGTTGGGTTGGGTTGGGCTGGGTTGGGTTGGGTTGGGTTTGGGTTGGGTTTGGGTTGTTGGGTTGGGTTGGGTTGGGTTGTTGGGTTGGGTTGGGTTGGGTGGGGTTGGGTGGGGTTGGGTGGGGTTGGTTGGGTGGGTGGGTGGGTGGGTGTGGGTGTGTGGTCGGAGGTGTGGGGGTTGTGGGGGGTCATGTTTCTGTGTTTCACGAACGCCTGGTCCAGGTCGGCCGTGCGAGGCGAGGGTTTGAAACTGACAATGGAGCAGGTTCTCGGTGCTTTTCGCAAGCAGAACGCGTGCCTAGTTTCCAGCGGTGAAGCTCTAGCCAAGTCGGAACAGATTCATTTTTGGAAGCCGCGAAGTGCGGTTTAACCAGCGTTCCGCTCTTGAGGGCATACCGATGCGAATAAGAAAATCGTTGTATGCATGTGTATGTAGACACATATATATATATGATATATATATATATGATATATATATATATGATATATATATATATATATATATGATATATATATATATATATATATGATATACACATATATATATATGTATATATAGGGGGGGGGACGGTGGCAGTCCAACCTGGGGGGTTGGCCGTATTCGAGGTGGCGCGGCCTGCCCTTCGCTGAGATTGTGGAGGACGAGAGCTTCGCCAAGCGCCAGGCGGGGTTTCCGAGGGACCCGTCGCCGTTGATGTCTTGGGGTTGAAGGTTCTCGGTTTGGAAAGGGCCGGTTGAACCATCTTTGTGTTTTATTTACATACATTTACATATATATTGACTTGTCGTTTGCGTGGCTCTGGTAATTTGGAACACATCGGAAAAATTGGGCATGGAGAGGGCAAAGGCACATGCCAGGTTCTTCCACTTGGCGCAACTCGCGCTGCTTTTCGGAAGTGTGTAATGGACGTTCAGTTTGGCACACCTATAAAGGTTCAGCCAATGGAAGAAACATGTGGGGGGGTTACCCCAGATAATATAGCCCCGTCCTTGACGCCTATACATAAGAAAAAACTGAACTGTCGGCAAGTCCCACGAGGGGGCCTGTTCTCTTTTTTTTGTGACCCTGACGTGGGGATTGGACTGTTGAAAAGAAAACTCGTGGCCGGCTATTTTGGTTCTTTGCGAGAATAACGAGCCCATACAACTGGCCGATTTGCTTCTCCAGTTGCGCACATTGTTCCCGATTTCCGGATATCCTTGTTGTCACTGGGGGCTGCAACTTTGAAGCGCCTTCGCGGATAGGGGGGTCAGTGTGCAACAGCGCGGCCATATTTTGTGCAGCTGTGGTGCTAACAGGGTTAGACTCGACCGAAAATCGCACCCACTACCCGGCGTTTGGCGATCACTTGTGATAGAGCGGGGACGTGTGTCTCAAAATGAGGGGCCCCTTCCGAGTGGTGGGTGTCCTTTTGGTTTTCCTTTAAAACCATCCAAAAGGGGGGTTCCCCATTTGTGAGACATTCCCATATGTGTCACATTCTTAAGAAAGCAAGACCGTGCCATTCTGTCAGGGGATCCCATTATTGCTTTGCGTTAAGGAAGGTATGGTGCACTGTCTAAAACAAGGCTAGTGTCGCATGTCACGAGCCCGCCGAGAAAATGGGGGCCATCCCCCGCGCTGGAAGCGGCCAGGCCGCGGGCGGGACGTACATGGAGCCTGGCGCTCGGGCAAAGTCGACATCGGATCGTTCCCCTTGGAAGTTCGGCCAAGTTAGTGTTTGTGGTTAGCCACTTGGGTTATCACCCAATGAGGGGAGCTTATAAGTGGGTCGGGACCTAGGTTACAACTTACTTGCTTGGCCGAACACGCAAATAGGTTTGCCTTGTTCCAGAGAACCCATCACTTCTGTGTTTTCCCTGTTTCCGCGTTGGAATTGAGGCCGGAGCTGCGCGAGAGGCGGATCTTCCGGCTGGCTGGTGTTCTTGAAGGGGCTGAAGGATTGAAAGTATGTGGTTATTTCAAAGATATAGCCAGGGACATACACTGTGCAGGAAACACCCGCATGGGCCAAAGCTGGCAACAGTTTTCGCATTTGGTCCATCCAAGAGGTCAAACTAAAGGAGCGCAAGGCAAAAGGATTTCCAATGTCAGCAACGTTATGTTATCTTGTCACGTCACAAGTTTGTGGACTTTATACTTTCTGGGAAGAACATGGGGTTCAACAGGCAGTTTGGACTTGTTGTTGCCTCTCCACTCAGGAAGTGATGCTCGAATTCACGTGAATTGCTGTTCCAGTTGCACCCAAAGCGAACCAACCGAATGTTTGTCTTTCCCAATGTGTGCAACCAGTTTTTGGCAACCTGGGGACCCCTTATGGCTCTTTAGTGTGACCGGATGGCCCCTTCGACCCTTTGGAAACGAATGGCTTGTCGATTAGACCTACAAAAAAGGTGATCGTTCTTTTTCGCTGGGAGCTTGGAGCAATGCAGAATAGACTCACTTCTTGAGTTGGCGGACTTTATACTCTGTTGGGAATGCCGTTGGACTGGTGAGCAAAGAGTTCAGACTTTTTTGACCAAGGGAGTGAGAAGAGCTTTCGGCTCCCAAACTCCCCTGGACCTCAAGTCCGTACGTCCCAAGGGGTTCACCGGTCATTTCCCACTTTGCAAGCCTTCCCGGAGATGCGGAAGGAATTTCTGGCTTAAGGAAGCGAAGCCCCCCCTCCATGAAGGCTTCTAAAGGACCCCCCGGCTCCCTGAATTAAAGTTCCCTCCCCCTTTTATCTAAGGAAGCCGAAAGGATACCAGGCTCTTCAGGGGTCCCCTATGTAGAGAATCATTTAAAGAGCGGTGGCTCGGTGCCTAAACTGGCCGTGCCCCTCCCATAATGGAAAATCGCCTTGTGCGTGGGGTGTTCAGTGCCCCCTTCTAACTAAAAAGCCGACTTCTGCACGTTGCAACACGTTGAGCACACTTGGATGCTTGTTTCGCAGAAGTCTTCAAGCGGATCGATTTCATGGCCAGGCATGCTTGATTCTGCTGTGAGTGCACCATGACGTGTTTGGGCAATCTGCTACTGCAGCCATTAGCGCTCTCGCATCGAAGAGTGCGAAAGAGATTCATGATATGTATCACTGTATCACAGGGCGCCCAGACGTGCAGCTGTCAACAGTGGCACACATCCCTGGGCTGTTTGACAGGACGCCAAACAGAACTTTGATACTCTGGAGAGTCCTTCAGCTGCAGACAGCCAGCAGCCAGATTGCCCTGTTGTCTCACCAAGTGCAGAATGTCGATCTGTGCGTGAATGGAGCAAATACCAACCGTGGACAAGGACGAGGAAACGAATGCCACTGTGGGTGTGCACCTGCAGGAGGCGTCTATCGCTGAGTGACTTGCCTGCAAGGCAAAGGCTCGCATGTCAAATGAACTTGATCGAAACTATGTGGCGTCAAGCCATTTTGCGTGTCGACTTGAAAGGTCCAACCGGATTTGTTGGGGGCCCAGTGGGCCGAGAAGGCCAAAAGATCAAACGCGGGTCACTTTGCAGCAGGTCAACTTCGAGGTTCATGGGAAGTCTTTAAATCTCAGACTCGCAAGGACATGTGCTTTAGAGACTTTGCATGTCTTGGCCGTTCCCTGGCTTGTCAAGCACGAACAGCTTGGCGGGTCTTTGGGGGCTTGATCGCAAAGTCGCTAGGCTGCATCAAAAGCTGGACAAGATCCTCGAGAAATTGGAGAGGCGATGGTGTGCAGATCTCAATTGCAAGCAAATGGTGGGGCCGGAAGCAAGTTCCTTGGGCCGGTGGTTGTCAAAAACCATGTTTTGGTCTCCCCTTGTTTTGGGCGGCCAACAAAAGGCGGCACCAAGGTCCTAGAAGGCAGTCATCTTTTTGGCAGGGCTGTCCCATATCAGCTTTTGAACTCCCAAAGGGGGGGGGTCTCCTACACGATTGCAATGCAGGCGCGGCTGGATGTGCCAAGTTCGTTGACTTGCCCGCCTATTTTGTGCCGATCATGTGGTCAAACCATTTGGAATACTACGTCTTGAAACGCCCCCGACTTCCATGAGGAGCACACGACAGCCTTTTCCTTTGGGTTCCCCTGTAAACCCCCCCAAAAAAGAAAGAGAGAGAAACACACACAAACAAACAAAAAAGTACAAAAGCAAAACAAGGCTCAAAGAAAGTCTCTCCTCTCTCTTCTCTCTCTTCTCTCTCTTCTCTCTCTTCTCTCTCTTCTCTCTCTTCTCTCTCTTCTCTCTCTTCTCTCTCTTCTCTCTCTTCTCTCTCTTCTCTTTCTTCTCTCTCTTCTCTCTCTTCTCTCTCTTCTCTCGCTCTCTCTCTCTCTCCTCTCTCCTCTCTCTCCTCTCTCTCCTCTCTCTCCTCTCTCTGCTGAATGATATGGGTGTCCCATTGAGTTGATCCGTCACTTGCTCCACCAGGTTTGACTTTGGGGGGTCGACACGCCCACAAGGGCTGCCTTCCAGATAGATGTGTGGCGCTCGTTCGAGAGGGTACTAGGTTCCGGTACGTTCAGAGGGACACCAACAACAAAAGCCCAGAAAACCCATGCTTTAAGGATATTAGGAGCCAACTGTTTAAGAGATTGGCGGCCTTTTTTTTTATCGTGTTGCATGCCTTTTCAACTATGTGTTTGTTTGTTTGTTTGTTTGTTTGTTTGTTTGTTTGTTTGTTTGTTTGTTTGCTTGCTGATTTGTGTATTTGTGTTTTGCTGGCTTTGTGGCCCTTGGTTTTGTATATGCGTGTGCGAGACACGAGAGCGCAGGTGGGAGTCTGACAAGGGCCTGACCGGCCCCAGCGCTCGGCTCAAAACGCGACTCTGGCCAGTCTTTCACAAGCCGTCCAGTGCCGGTGTCCACCCCAAATTCACCTGGAACCCAGAAAAGGGGTCCCCCTTTGGGGAGATTTCGAGCTAAGTGGGTCTGGCTTTTTTAACGGACGGTGCGGGGCGGCCCACTAAAAACACATGTTCATTCATTCGCACGTTTTGGTTTGTGCGCGAGCACCAAGGAACGCCCCCTTGACTGGGCACCCCGCATTAATAAGCCCAATCTAATAGGCGGGGTGTCGCACTCGCACGCGCACACACACACACACACACACACACACACACACACACACACACACCCACCCACCCACCCACCCACCCACCCACCCACCCACCCACCCACGCACGCACGCACGCACGCACGCACGCACGCACGCACGCACGCACGCACGCACGCACGCACGCACGCACGCACGCACGTACGCCCACGCACGCACGCCCACGCACGCACGCCCACGCACGCCCACGCACGCCCACGCACGCCCATGCACGC